CTAGAATGTCAGCACATGCACTTTACTAAACACTCTGAGTAGCTCCACATAAAGCAAATACTCTGTTTGAAAGTAGTGAAGCCAGGATAAAAAGATAAAGAAACCTAAAGCAGCTTTGTTTGGTAAACTGAATTGTATCCTAATTTATGTAAGAGGACATATGAACTATGATTTGCTAGAGTAACTCATTCAGTCATTTAAATGATACGGGCACATGCCTTCACAGAACTAATAGGACAATTATGATAAAGCTAAAATTTTAAGTACTCTGTGTAGCCTCTGTAATTAGTGGAGATAGGAATGAAAATGCTGCTTTAATTCATAGGTAGCAACATACTGACTGGCTCTTGCCAAATTTTTTCCATTTCTATTCATTTGGACTGTATTCCTCCTGATGTTGTGATGCCACCTCCTCTGTCACTCCTTCCTTTCTGTTCTCTTTCAACTGCGTTCTACCCTTTCTTTATCCTCCTCAACCTTCAGTCCTCCTTGGGCAACTCCACTTCAGGCTCTTTGCAGTTCACCACACTTATGCTAATGACTCTCAGCTTTAATCCCTCTCTTCTAACTACCTCCTGAACATTTTCATCTGAATATGCTGTTGACCCCTTGAATTCAGCAGGTCTGATCTGAACTCATTTTATTTCTCAAACCTTTTCCATCTCTTATATCTCTTGGTTAATGATGTGCAAGCTACCCAGTAGCCTAAGTCAGTCATGCCCTCATCCCTTTTCACTCTCAGCTCATCATAGCTGATTATAATCAAGTTGTATAATTTCTGCCTTGCTATTTCAAATTTGTTTTCTCCTCTCTACTACCATTGCCATCAGCTCAAGCCTATTTTTAACATTTATAAGACCTTCAATGGTCTTCTCTGCAGATGGCTCTTGTTTTCCAACTCATCCTTCACTGTAGCCAGAGAAGTCCTTCATAACTGCCTGCTTGATTGTGTCACGCCTCTGCTTAAAACTTTCAGTGGCTTCGTATTGTTTGCAGTTATTATAGTCTCAGGTATCTGCAAGGAGTAAGCAGATAATGTGTGTGAGTGAAGTGGGCCAAATGTGAGACAGTGGGGAGAATAGGAGAGTGTATTCCTCTCTAAAGAAATTCATACTCAGAATTTTTTAAAACATTTGACAGTCCTGTCTGAGAATCTAATGTTGCCTATAGGTCTCCAGTTAGTGCAGCCAAGTCTAAACTGCTGAGCATGGCATATGCAGTGTTTCTTTGATATCAGGTATGTCTTTGAGATGAACAACTTGTAACTCTCAGCTGTTGCAGAGACTGATGTAACCAGTGAGTCATGTTTGTTGTTTTTTTCTAAGTCAGAATAAATCAGAATAAACAGTGAGTTGGTTATTATAAGTACTACTGTCTTCCTTCATATTGGAAGCCGGGGAGCATTATGGGCTTTGGAGTCAGCCTTGACCTAGGTTCACTTGCCAATTCCGTCACGTATTTGCTGTATGATTTTGAACACAATTTCCTCCTCTAACTAAAATATAAAGAAATAAAGCCTTGCAGGATTGAGAGTGCAGTATCAGATTCTCAACTGCTTTAAATTTTCCAGCTCAGTGTTTGGCACATAGTAACTCTTCAGTAAAGGATAGCATCTGGACAGGTAGGGAAAATTTAAGAGGCAGCAGTGAATAATATAAAAATCTAATTCCCCGGCTGCATCCTTCTTAGTAATTGTACTTGTGGCCTAAAGAAGAGCAAACCAGTTGCAGGCCATTATCAGGTGAGGCAGGCAATTGGAAGTGGACAGGCACATCATTTACCCATGGAACCAAAAACCAGGAGCTTGCCACCCTCACTGGCTATCAAGCTGAAACTGGAATTTAAGACTAGAAGTTCAATTTTCTGTTGACAAATTCCTAACTAAGATGGGAATGTGGACTTTCTACAACTATGCATAATGTCCTAAGCTCTTTTTCACTTTTTTTGTCTACATATAATCTTTAAATTTTTTTTAGTGAAAGTTATATTAGCTAAAAATTTACTTCAATAGTATGAGGATATTTTATTTTGGTTTGTTCTCTACAGCTGTATAAATTTGAAGCACCAAAGGAAGTTTTCTTTATCAGAACATTTTTTGTTGTTGTTAATCTTTACCCAAGGATATTTTTCCATTGATTTTTTTTTTTTTTTTTTTAGAGTGAATGGAAGGGAGGGGAAGAGACAGAGAAAGGGGGAACATCAACATATGAGAGATACATGGATTGGTTGCCTCCTGTAAGTGGTTGGGTATTAAGCCTGCAACCAAGTTACATACCCTTGACCCGAATCAAACTCGCGACTCTTCAGTCTGCAGGCCAACGCTCTAACCATTGAGAAACCTGGCTAGGGCTATCAGAACATTTAGCATGGTGAGGAAAGAGGGCTGTTGTATTTACATATTATTCTAATGCATAAGTACATTATGTTTTCATTGATCTAGGAACAATAAGAAAGTCTTCAAGAGCTTTCATCATTCACTTAAGGGAAAGAAAATATACCATATTTTCAGGATCTAAAATTTAGCATAAATTTAACATTTAAGTATATTTTACTCAGTAATTTGTATACCCAGCTGACATGGTTGAAATAGGGGGCTGAACAGCTAACAGTATACAGTATTTTTCTGCCTTACCACAGAGCTATCGTGATAATGAGTAAAGTGGTACAGATAATAACCTGTTGGCAGAATGACATCCACTGAACTTCTCCTTGTACTTAAAATGGAGAGGCTAGAAAGCAAGACAAAGAGCGTTTCAACTTCTTTGCAGCAATATGTCTCACTCCAGACAGACTTTCATGCCCAGGCAAACGATACTATATTTAAGTAACAGAGCATTACACAGCTAAGAGGATTGTGTCTAAGAAAGCAAAGTAGACGTATTTAAGAGAATATTGAAACACAAAGATAGACAAGTGTTATCTTTACTGGCTATGCTAAAATTCTCTTTTGGTTTTAAGGAGTATCACAAAAAGGTTGATCTAGATAAATACGTTGGTATTCTATGACTTGATATTATTTTTTAGTGTTCATCTGTTTTTCTTAAAGGACTGATTTTTTTTTTTGTAAATGCCATCTAAAATATTTTTCTTTTTCCTCCCTCTCTCTCTTCTTCCTTTCTATCCTTCCTTTCTTCCTTTCTACTTGCAGCACCTCAGAGAAATTTTGAAATTGCCTTCAAGATGTTCGACTTGAATGGAGATGGAGAAGTAGACATGGAGGAGTTTGAACAGGCAAGTTGTCCTGGAAAGTTCCTTTAAATACATTCATATTTATTTATTTATTTATTTATTTATTTTTAATATATTTTATTGATTTTTTACAGAGAGGAAGGGAGAGAGATAGAGAGCCAGAAACATCGATGAGAGAGAAACATCGATCAGCTGCCTCCTGCACATCTCCCACTGGGAATGTGCCCGCAACCCAGGCACATGCCCCCAATCGGAATTGAACCTGGGACCCTTCAGTCCGCAGGCCGACGCTCTATCCACTGAGCCAAACTGGTTTCGGCAATACATTCATATTTAACCCAATTTCATGTGCTTTGGAGTTACCTTGGCCTTGGTCAGTAGATTCAGATGCTACCCAATTTTTGAAGTACCTAATGTATCATTTTTCAAAACTACTAACTTTTAACATAAGGGTTTTCTTGTTTTAACTCTAAACATAAGGAATTATTTGAGTATACGATTAAGGTCAAGATTGCTCTGATTTCCCAATATGAATTAAACTATAATGCTGAGAGGCTAAGTTATGGATATTCAATCATATATTCAGGCCACATTTATCAAACAGCTACTCTTTGCTAGACAGTTTCAGAATACAAGGATGAATGGCAAGTAAGAAATGCACAGAGACAAATATTTTAAAATACCTAGAGACATTCAAATTTGCACCCTATGTCCATCATACATTTTAAAAAATATGTTTTTATTGATTTTTTAGAGAGAGAGAGAGAGGAAGGGAGAAGGATAGAGAGATAGAAACATCAATGAGAGAGAAACATAGGTCAGCTGCCTCCTGCATACCCCCTTCTGGATCGAGCCCCCAGTACAGACATGTGCTCTGACTAGAAATCGAACCTGTGACCTCTTGGTTCATGGGTCAGTGCTCAACCACTGAGCCACACCAGCGGGGCCATCCTACACTCTTAAATATACAGTCTACTTAGAATTCATATTTTACTATGTCACATAAAATGTGGGAACTGTAACCACATACCATTTACCCCTTCTCCATTCTTTCTGCCATAGTTGTCCTATGTATTATATCTGCATCGAATAGTCCTCCCTTATCCAAGGGAGAGATGTTCCAAGACCCCAAGTGGATGCCTGCTACTTTGGATAGTACCAAACTCTATACATATTGTGATTTTTCCTAAACATGTATACACCTTGTGGCTTCTCTTTGGCATATCCAAATTGTCCACACCACGCTCTTGTGCTTTGGGGCTATTAAGTAAAATAAGGACTACTTGAACACAGGCATTGTGATATCGTGACAATAGATCTGATAACTGAGATGGCTACTAAGTGACTAATAGGTGGGTATCAGATAGAGCATAGATATGCTGGACAAAGGGATGGTTCACATCCCAAGTGGGATGAAGCAGGACGGTCAGAGATTTCATCACACTACCCAGAATGGCATGCAATTTAAAACTTATGAATTGTGCCCTAGCTGGTTTGGCTCAGTGGATAGAGCATCGGCCTGCGGACCAAAGGGCCCCAGGTTCAATTCCGGTCAAGGGCACATGCCTGGGTTGCGGGCTCGGTCCCCAGTGGGGTGCATGCAAGAGGCAGCCAATCAATGATTCTCTCTCATTGTTGATGTTTCTATCTCTCTCTCCCTTCCTCTCTGAAAGCAATAAAAAATATATTAAAAATACTTACGAATTGCTTATTTCTGGATATTTTTCACTTAATCTCTCTCTCTCACACACACACACACACACACACACACACACACACACACACACACAAAAATCTAGTGATATGTAATTTTCAGTAAAGTTTTTAATGAAAGAATACTTATAGTTATTAATAGTTTACACATAAGTGTGACAGTATTTGGACTATGTTATTGTTAATAGTTAATGAAGATGCTATAGCATTAGTTAATTTTCCCTAAACACATTTTTTTCCCAGTCACTTATACAAATACTCTCAGCACCACACTTTTGAAGCTAACATACAGCTTCCACAACAGCAGGGCTATAAGCTATAATATTTATAGCCACAAGCAAAATTTAAATCATGGTAGGTTCTAACACTGCTTCAATACTGGTTCACTGCTATTGGAAAATTCTTTAGTACTCACTTAGATAAAATGAATTATGTATTGCCTTCAAATAGAAGAAGCACTTTTCTGATTATCCTGTATTTCAATTTAAAGTCTAAAAAACTATGCCCAGCCAGTGTTGCTCAGTGGTTGAGCGTCAACCCATCCACCGAGGTCACTGGTTCAATTCCTGGTCAGGGCACATGTCCCAGTTGTGGGCTCGATCCCCAGTCAGGGGTGCACAGGAGGCAGCCAGTCAGTGTCTCACTCTCAACATTGATGTTTCTCTTTCCTTTCCTCTCTTTGTAAAGTCAATAAAAAACATATTTAAAAAAATAAGGAGAAAGTCTAAAAAACTTCAACTTAAATAATTTTAAAATCTATTACATACCTGCCTTTTAAGTCTCCATGTGCCTGAGAAACAAATGTCAACCAATCTGGGCCCTGGCCGGGTAGCTCAGTTGGTTAGAGTGTCATTCCAATACAACAAGGTTGTGGGCTTAATCCCCAGTGAGGGCACATACGAGAATCAGCCAATGAATGCATAAATAAGTGGAACAACAAATTGTTGTTTCTCTATCTATTTCTCCCTTCCTCTCCATCTAAAATCAGTCAATGAATAAAAATGCCAACCAATCTTATTTACATAAATAAAATATGAGCCCAGAAAAAATCATAATCAAAACCATTTATGATATTAACCTAGAGTTAGAAGACAGCGATAATGTGCTCTGCAAACAATGAGAAAAATAAGGCTTAAAGAGGTTAAATGATTTGCACAAATTCTACTCTCACTACAGAGTAATAGAATCAGACCCCGTGTCTCCTGACTAGTCTTTCCATTATACTCTTCCACCCTTTATAGAGCCTGAGACTTTTAAGTTGTCTTAAATAAATATTTTTATGGTCATAGATAACAAGTGAAATAAAAAACATTTAACTAAGGTAAAATTTGTTGTTACAAATCTTAAGTTTAAATATTACGCTTTTCTAATTTGGCTATTTAAACATCAAGACTATATATATTGTTTATTTCTGTAACATACCTTTATTATTTACCCTTATGTATCGAATTTTAGTTGTTCTGAATAGCTGTGTTTTTTAGCTTATAAAGAGGTAGAAAAAACTGCAGGAACTAGTGGGGGCAAAAAAGCTATAGCAATTACTGACTTGCCTCAAAACTCTTTATATGTATCATTAAGCCATAGTTGTAGTCCCAAAAATTATCCTTTCTCAAAAAGCGCTTTTAAAACTTCTCAGAGATTGAACTAATTCCCCATGTTTTCTTGGGGAGTTATTTCATACCAATTTTGCATTTTCATATATCATTCTAATAAATGTTATCTCTCTTAGATGTTAAGTATTTATTTGCCTATAACTGTGCTGTCACTCTTCACAACTAGAGAATCAGTAGTGAAAATTGTGGAATTTTTAAAATTATCCTGAGAAAAGGAAAGTATTGCTGTGAGGTTAATGATTATTTATTGTGAGAGAGGTTTTGAGCCTCAAAACAAATATATATTCTTTTCTGAAGAGATATTTTTAGGTGGGTCCCCATTATAAAAGTATCAGGCATCTGTGTTGGAATCCTGGTGCTGCTACTTGACTTTGAGCAAATTATTTAACTCTATGTGCCCCAAATTTCTCATCTGTGAAATAAGGATAATCATAGGCCTTCTCTCATAGGATTGTTGTGAGCATGGGGTAGAGAGCTAGTGTGGGCTAGAAGACATCTATAATACTTTCAACAATAAAGATTTTTTTAAGTAAAGTAAAATAAAAGAAAGAATTGTAGCACAGTGAAGGCAAAGACTAAACAATCAATAGGCAGTTATTTTCCCTACTTTTCTCCAATTTTTCACTTTGTAATGTTTTCCTGGATGGGGGTTTGCTTCTCTTTAGGTTCAGAGCATCATTCGCTCCCAAACCAGTATGGGTATGCGTCACAGAGATCGTCCTACTACTGGAAACACCCTCAAGTCTGGCTTGTGTTCAGCCCTCACAACCTACTTTTTTGGAGCTGATCTCAAAGGGAAGCTGACAATCAAAAACTTCCTCGAATTTCAGCGTAAACTTCAGCATGATGTTTTGAAGCTAGAGGTAGGTATTTCCTGGACTTCAGGGGACCGGGCACTGTCGATTCCATGTACACAGAGAGCCGCTGGAGTGGGAGGGCCTGCATTATTGGTATTCTTTCCGTCTATCTCCAGCTGGGAGAACTGATTGCTTTGAACTGTATCAGTGATTTACTGTCTGACAGCAGGTTGGAAATCATGTGGTCTGTGAAATGTCTTGGAGTCAGGTAGTTCTGGGCCTAAAAGCAAAAGTGTCTAAATTGAAAATCTCAGTTGTCTTTGGATACTCAGCTTGAGGAAAAAGAAATGCAGGGGTCAGAGCTGCTCTCAGCCTGAGCATGTATCCCTACTTTATATTATTGTGTAGAAGGCAACAGGTGGTGGAGACAAGGGGGGATCCCACTTAACTCAGTTGAGACAGTTTGAAAAATCACAACTGAATTCCCATTATTAATACATTTTAGTTTATTATTATAATTTTGTTGT